CAAGGCCTTGTGATTTCACCCCAGTTACGTTCTTTCACTCTTGGCTAGAAACCTTTGGCTATTTAAATTTGGTGGCCTCCCAAAAGTTTTTTGTGTGTGTTTTGTTTTTTTAAACAACAAACACAATTTATCTTTTCACGTAAGCTGCAATTTGGTTGAAATAAGACCTTTGTAGTATGTAGTCCAGAGCTCCTGATAACTGGAACTACAATCAGTGTTTCTGTTTTGTGATCTATTTTTTGTGTTTCAAAAGCCACAACAGAAAAACTCCTTCTTCTGTTGTGGTTGTCAGGAGCCGGCATTTGGGCCATGGCAGCAAGAGAGGCTTCTGTAGAAACTTAAACTATAAGGAGGTATTTCACTTCTGGGCTGGGCTCTCCACATATTCTTCCTATAACGGGTGAAGGGAGTGAAGGACCTCAAATCTTAATTGAAAACTTTCCTGAGCCTTGAAAAATGTGGGTTACGTATTTGTTGTTGGTGTTTTAATAATCACTAGGTCTAGAGGGGGAAAAATAAAGTGGAAACACCTAGCCTGAATTGAACTCAATATAGCAATTCTTGATTCTAAGAAGCCCCTTGGTTCTAAGTGGCCCCCATCTTTGTGATAACAGCTACTGGGAAAGGGGTTGTGGCCAGCACAGTAAGTATAGGTATTAATGATCAGTTAGCCTAGTTTGGAAAAATGGGCTGAGATGTACCTCATCGGATGGAAGGAATGTGGTAGTCGCTGTTGTAACAACAATAATGATGAGGATAATTAACATTTAGGAGGCCTCGTCCTAAGCTCTTGATAAGCATGATTTTCATTCCGTCCTCACCGTGAGAGACAGAGCGCCAGAGGAGTCGTCCCGTGCCCACACACAGCTAGCCTTTCAACTGCCTTCTTGGCAGCAGTTATGGAAGGCCGACAATATCGCTCTAATCTGAATATCGCTACTTCATATTTCCTGTATTTGGGGAAAGGAAGCTTTAGCTTCAGTAATCTTTGAAGGGAAGGACTTACGCAGCATTTAAATAATATAAGCAAGAAACCCCTTAAGCCATTTAAGGAAAAAATGCGTGTCTGTTTTACAAAATGGAAATTGCTGTATTATTGGCATACTTTTCTTCTTGAAAGATATAAAGAAGAAAGTAAAAAGGAGCCTTAATCCTGCCACCAGTTATAAGCATTGTTTCACAAGTGAGAGAATTCAGCAAAGCTGTGAAGAACAATCAATCCACTGGGGTCAGTCTGCTTGGATGCCAGGCTAGTTCTGCAGCCTCATTAGCTCTGTGATATTGGGCAAGTGACTTATTCTAGCTAAGCCTCAGTTTCCTCGTCTGTTAAAGGGGATGATGACAAAAACAATATATTGACATGTTCATATGTCCTTCTAGGTTTAACCAACTACTACTTTCTTTTTTAATCCTCTTTTGATATTTTCTCATTGATTTTTTTTTTTTTAAGAGAGAGTGGAAGGAAGAGGGAAAGACAGAGAGAAAAACGTCTGATGTGAGAGAGACACATCGATTGGTTGCCTTCTGCACGCACCCTGACCAGGGCCGGGGATCGAGCCTGTACGTGCCCTTGACTGGAATCAAACTCAGGACCCTTCATTCCACTGTATCCACTGAGCCAAACCGGCTAGGGCAGTGGTTGGCAAACTGCGGCTCGCATGCAGCTCTTTGGCCCCTTGAGTGTGGCTCTTCCACAAAATACCAGCTCTTCCACAAAATACCGACTTCTGCGCATGAAGTTTCAATCGCACTGTGCATGCGCGCCCGCACGTGGTATTTTGTGGAAGAGCCACACTCAAGGGGCCAAAGAGCCGCATGTGGCTTGCGAGCCGCAGTTTGCCGACCACTGGGCTAGGGCAACCAGCTACTTCTAAGCATTTGAAAAATACTTGCTCTCAGCAAACTAATTACAAATGATTCTTAGCTATTCTTAAAGCAAACCTTCTAACATTGCTAGTCAGATGGTACTGTCCTTTTCATCTTTTTTTTAAAGTCTATTTTGAACTATTAAATGTATGGCTAAGCTATTAGATGATTTGTGCATCCAAATAGGTTTTTTTCAGTTATTCACATTTGTGAAGTTGGGCATGATGACCATTTGCTGTGGTGGCACAGTGATTAATGCAGACACCTGAACATCTGACTCAGGCAATGAGGATGTTTACTGAGCATCTTCAGTAGTCCAGAAGACAATTATAGGACATGATCCCTGCCCTTCGAAGTTAGGAAATGAGAATGGGGAAATAGGTATAAGAGGAAGGATTTGCCTGTGTTCAACCGAGACTGAGAACAGAGCCAATTTATCTCTCATATCCTTCATTTCTTTTTTTTTTTTTTTAAAGAAAGTTTTTTTAATCGATTTTAGAAGAGAAAGGAAGGGAGAGGGAGAGAGAAAGAAACATCGATTGGCTGCCTCCTGCACATCCCCACCGAGCCCGCAACCCAGGCATGTGCCCTGACTGGGAATCAAACCGGGGACCTCTCAGTGCCTGGGACCGATGCTTAACCAACTGAACCACACCAGCCAGGGCTCCTTAATTTCTTCAATGCAGAGCAAAGATCACCTGCCTTACCTATGTTTGCTATGGGATGAGTGATATTAAAGATCAAAAGACAGACACATGGAAATGTAAATTATAAAACTTTTTTGCAGCTATAATTGTCTTGCGGTATGTTGGTCTCATAATTTGAAAAGTAGAAGTAAGGCCTTCAGCTACTCTTGAATAGGTATGTCTTAGGTGCTGTTCCTCATCTAGTCTTGACAACAATCCTGCGAGGGAGGACTAATAATGCTATAAAGATTAGAGGTGATGTCCTAGCTGGTTTGGCTCTGTGGATGGAGCGTCAGTCTGCAGACTGAAGAGTCCCAGGTTCAATTCCGGTCAAGGGCACATGCCCGGGTTGTGGGCTCGGTCTCCAGTGCGGGGTGTGCAGGAGGCAGCCAATCAATGATTTCCTCTCATCATTGATGTTTCTGTCTCTCTCTTCCTCTCCCTTCCTCTCTGAAATCAATAAAAATATATTTTAAAAAAAAGATTAGAGGTGATTGACAGCCATGCTTTCCCAGATCAGGAGCTGGATTATCATAACTTTGGTCTTATTCTTGCATATCTTGTCTGTTAAAAGGTTGTCAATTTAATCTTGACCTGCACTATGGGTCTCGCAGACTTTGATTTTAGTAGGCCACTACAGTTACCCTTAGCATTTTGGGGGTGACAGAGGAGTGCCAGCTTTTGTTCTGCCACACAAGGACATTAATTTAAATATATATATATATATTTTTTTAACTTATTTCACAAAAGAGAATACTTATCGACTCCAAAGTAGTAGGAAAGATGACTTCAGACAAAATACAAGCCAGCCCACTATTTTATTTTTAATCATGTGTTTGTTAAAAATTCAGAACAGTATGCAGTGGAAAAGTATGTCTCCCCTCTTAGCCTTTTATCCCAGTCCCCTAAACTAGCAAGCTCCCTTGTCTGTATATAAGTTTCACATATCTTAGTTTGTTGCTTGACTTTATTTATAACCTTTCTTCCATATAGAATTTATTCCTTTGTTTGTTTTTACAGTTGAATTTTCCATTATTTCTTTTGGCTTCTGGACTTTTGATATATTTAGAAAGGGTTACCCCACTCCAAGATTATTTATGAAAGTCTCCCATAGTTTTTTCCTAGGATTTTTATGGCTTTATTTTTATCTGTAATTTATTCTGTGGAAGATGCAACATTATTTCACTTGTGACAACAGTGTTTATTGCATGATTTGTCTTCCTGCCACTAATCTGAAAGCCACTTATATACCAACTTCCTTTATGTATTGGGGTGTCTTTCTGAACCCTCTAATTTCATTTATCTAGATAGTGAACCACCCATCCATCCATTTGCAGAAATACACTGAATCACCAGTTTCACTAATTTTAAGTGTACACTCGGTGAGTTTTGACAAATGAATATAGTTGTATAACCATCACCACAGTCAAGATACAGAGTGTCTTGGGTTTTTAAATTTAGATAAATAGTTTTTAACATCTGTAAATAATTATTGCTTACTTCCTTTTCCTCATCTTTATTTCTCTGGTATTTTTTTCTCTGGATTCTTTATATTGCTTAATAGTACCTCCAGGGCAATAGTAAATAATGCTAGTAATATTGGAACTTCTTATCTTGCTTCTTATTAGCTTTGGGGAGGAGATAGATACAGTATTTTCATTTTAAGGATTTATTTATTTATCCTTTTTTACTAAGAATTTTTTTTGTTTTATCAAGAATGGAGTTAAATTATATCAAATATCTTTTGCGCTTTTATGAAGATGCTATCATAATTTTTTTATCTATATAAGTATACATTAAATTACTAATTTTCTACTATTGACCCACCCTAGCAGTCGTGTAATAAACCATACTTGCTGTGGTATAATGGGAAATAGATATTTGGTCTTCCTCCCCATGTTCAGGCACAGAATTCCTAAAACCCTTGGAATCTCTGAGGTGGTGAGTTTTGGGTTTTTTTGTGTGTGTGTGTGTGTTTTGGGTTTTTTGTTGTTGTTGTTAATCCTCACCCAAGGATATTTACTTCATTGATTTTTTTAGAGAATGAAAGGAAGAGGGGCGGGCAGAGAGAGATACCAATTGGTTGCCTCCTGCACAAGCCCTTACCAGGCCAGGATCTAACATGAAACCCAGGTACGTGCCCTCAACTATGAATCAAACCATGACCCTTCAGTGTGCAGGCCGATGCTCTGACCACTGACCCAGACCAGCCAGGGCAGGTGATGAGAATCATGTAAGTTAACGAGATGACTGGGGACCTCTAGATAGCTTCAGGATGGGGGCTGGTCACCGGGACCTAAGGCATGATGATTTGAGAATTGGAACTTTTAGTTCCGCCTCCAACCTAACAGAAGGGACAAGAGGCTGAAGACTGAGTTCAAACACCAGTGGCCACGTGATTTAACAGCCATGCCTGGGTAATGAGACCTCCATAAAAACCCCTAAATTGTGTTCGCCTTGGCAGCACATACACTGATATTGGAACGATACAGAGAAGATTAGCATGGCCCCTGCACAAGGATGACATGCAAATTCCTGAAGTGTTCCATATTTTTTAAAAAAATACACCTAAATGTTGGTGTTCAAAGAGTTCCTGGTTGAGATGCTGGGAGGGTGGCACACTTGGAGAGAACATGGAAGCTCCATGCCTCTTCCCCAGTACCTTGCCCTAGCATCTCTTCCATTTGGCTGTTTCTGAGTTTTAAGCTTTATAATAAACCGGAAATAATAGTAATTAAAATGTGTTCCTGAAGAGAAGTGCGGGAACCCCCGACTTCTAGTCTATCAGTCAGAAGAAGTACAGGAGGCTGGGACTTGTGACTGGCATCTGAATTGAAGCCAGTCTTGTGATCTGAGCCCCTAACCCAGTGATGGCGAACCTATGACACGCGTGTCAGAGGTGACATGTGAACTCATTTTTTTGGTTGATTTTTCTTTGTTAAATGGCATCTAAATATATAAAATAAATATCAAAAATATAAATCTTTGTTTTACTATGGTTGCAAATATCAAAAAATTTCTATATGTAACACGGCACCAGAGTTAAGTTAGGGTTTTTCAAAATGCTGACACGCTGAGCTCAAAACGTTCGCCATCACTGCCCTAACCTGTAAGTTCTGTCCTAACTCCAAGTAGTTAGTGTCAGAATTGAATTGAATTGAACACCCAGCTGCTACTCAGAACATTGGAGAACTGGTTGATGTGAGGGAAAAACCCACACACATTTGCTGTCACAAGTGTTGTGAATAAAAACAGATCACTTGGTCATAGAGTATTATTTTTAAACTAGTGGCCTGGTGCATGAAATTTGTGCACATTAAAAGGGGATTAATTACAGGAAATATTTTAATATTGCTATTTGCCCTTTATAATAGAAGTGTCAGAGATGAAAGAAAATTAGTAAAATATATACGAAAATCTTCCTCCTGTCAGAGTCTGGGGCGTGCCACAGGACCCAGAGTCAAGTCCCCACCCACCCGAGGCACCTCAAAATTGTGCGAGACCTGGCCGGCCCCACCCTTGTCAAGCCCTGCCGGGCGGGGGGCACAGCCTCAGGTCCCCCAGTGCACCCTCAAGTCCCCCGGCCCAGCGTCAGGGCGGGGGGCTCGGCCTGAGGTCCCTCGGCCCAGTGCCAGGGTGAGCAGCGCAGCTTGAGGTCCCCAGCACCGGGGTGGGGGATGCAGCCTGAGATCTCCCATCAAGCCCTGCTGGGCGGGGGGCATGGCCTGAGATCCCCCATCAATCCCCACTGGATGTGGGGCATAGCCTCAGGGCCCCCATCAAGCCCCGTCTGATGGGGGGGATGCAGCCTCAGGTCCCCCGGGGCGGGGGGAGCAGCCTCAGGTCCCCCGGCCCAGCACCAGGGTGGGGAGTGCACCCTGAGGTCCCCCGTCAAGCCCCGCTAGGCGGGGGGCACGGCCTCAGGTCCCCTGGCCCTGTGCCGGGACGGGGGACGCAGCCTCAGGTCCCTGCCTTGGCCCAGCGCCACGCAGCCTCAGGCCCTGCCGATTGCTCATTAGATTGCTCGTTACGGCTCCTTACGGGAACTCAGCCTCTGCTGTGGGTGCAGCCATCTTGTGTTACAGAAACTCCGCCTCGGCTGTGGGCGCCGCCATCTTTGTGATGGTGTGATGGTCAGTTTGCATATTCCCTCTTTATTAGATAGGATGTGCTGCTGAATACTCTGCTAATAGTTTTTACCCCGTACAGTGGGGCCTTGACTTACAAGTTTAATTCATTCCGTGACGGAGCTCATAACTCAAATTACTCGTATGTCAAATCAATTTTCACCATTACAATGAATTGAATGCTGGGCTGATGTTGTGGCGTTCACTGTGACGTTCACTGTGCCAACTAGCGGTGGGGTATCTGAAGCTGGCTTGTAACCCGAATTTTAGCTCGCAACTCAAAACAAAAAATCGGCCGAGAGATGGCTCCTATCTCGAAAAACTCGTTAGTCGGGACACTCGTAAGTCAAGGCCCCACTGTATTCATAAGCATGGTTACTCTGTAGAGATTTTTCCTCTTAAATGTTCAAGTGTTAGTCAAATGGCTCTTTGGCCGGATGTGAATTTATTGGGTTAGCCCTTCTTTCCTTGAGGATGTTATAGGCACAATTCTGATGTCTTTTAGCATGGACTGTGGATTTTAGACATCTGAGAACAGTCAGTGTTTTGCCTAAATGCCCCAAAGGTTTCTTTTAAGTTAATAAGTCTACCAGGACATGTTTTTCCTGGAACATGGTGTGAGCCCTTTAATCTGTACATTCCAGTCATCCTAACTTCGGTTCTGCATGTCCCTTATTGGGTTTTCAGCAATGTCTTGTCTTTTTCCATGTAGTGTTGTGTGTGTTTTTTCCTATAATGGAAAAAATACCATTTTTCTCTTTTATTTCTCTGAGCTCTGCTTCTAAATGTTTTACCTACTTTTGTCATTTAATATCATTTCTAAGTGATCATGTCTCTGCTTTGCACATTTTGTTTCATAGAGGGGATTGCACTTGTCATTTGTTTTTAATTCATGGGAATATATTTTCATTTACTACATGGCAGCATTTTTGGTGACTGTTCTTTGCAGTTGGGTTTTTCTTGTACCTTCCCTCTTTGCTGGTAGTCTTCCTGGAAATGTTGAGCATTAAATTTAAATGTACCACAAAATTTAAATGTATAGTCCATCGAAAGATAAATATAATATAAGAATGTTCATAGTGATTCCTTCTATAAGAGCTAAAATGAGCAAGTCAAATGTCAAAAACAGTAAATCAATGAATAGTGCATTTATATAATGGAATATACTTTATGGCAATGGAAATGAACAAACCTTAGCTATACACACGCTACAGTATAGATGCATTTCACATAACACTGAACAAAAGACTCCCGGTGAAGGTTGGCTACATAATTTGCAGGTTCCTGTGCAAATTGAAAGTGGAAGATCCATGTTTAAAATGAGGGAAAAAGTATTCTAAAGGCACATATAAAAGCCTTTCTCCCTTTTTTCTACTGTCTCTTAACTTGTCATGCAATTTTCCATGCAGTATTCTTATTGGCTATATACTATACCTAGAAGTGATATGTAAGATATGTGTCTATTCAACATTATTGGATAACAACAAATAATTTTCCAAAATGGTCATAACAATTTATACTCCCAAAGTATGAGATTACTATTACTCTACATTTTACCAACACTGATATTGTGAGGGTTTGTTTTTTTTAATTGCAGCTTGCGTGTATTTTGTATTTTTCTAGACACTAAAGCAGCTGAGTAGCTTTTCATATGCTTATTGGCTGTTTTATATAGCTTTTTTGTGAAGAGTCTAATAGATTGTTCATTTTTCTAATAGATTGTGTGTTTTTCTCCTTGTCATTTTGTAGTTCTCTTTGTATTCTGGATCAGAATACTTTGATTCTAAATGTTGAAAAATCTTCCCCTTATCTAAATCTTGATTTTTAAGAGTCTTTGTAGTATCTTTTGAAGAATAGAAATTTCCTCAGTAATTAGACTGGGCAATAGAAATGGATGAAAAGTTCATTTTTATTGTACAAATCAATGTGAGTTACTTTTTATTATTTAACCTTCAGAAACAAGTCTAATGTCATTTTAATGGACAAAGATTACTTATCTGTGAATACCAATTTTCCTAACTTAGATTATATAATAAACTGGACCGAAATGGCAAAAAATAATAAAATAAATAAATGTATAGTTCAGTATGTACTGCATCCTTTTAAAACTGTTATTCATCTTTGAATAAGGTGATTCCTTTCTAGTCTTAGAATTTGCAGAAAATTTTTTTGGTGAGAGGCTAGCTTAGCAGAAGTTTTCCTTAAATATTCCATGTGTGAATGGTGCTTCTAGCCTTTCTTGTCCTCAGACATGTGGCGTTGGCCATTGTAATACCCCGGGCAGTCTCTCTCTGTCACCCTACCTCCTTGATAGACTGCTTCCTGTAGGATTGACTTGTGTGTATGATTCTTCGTGCCAGGCTGATTCAGAGGAAGCCTCAGTCACCAGTCCCTGAGCCAGTTCCCACTGTTTTGAACAATGGGTTGCTGGTGTTCTCCCCTTAGAGTGAAACATTTACTTCGTAGAAATGTACTCGCACATTTTGTCTGACATCTATACCAACAGCCATTCTCTTTCATTGCTTTCCCAAAACACCCTATTTGACCTTTATAGCATTTAGCAGTTCTTACTCATCACATATTGGGGTTTGAGGTCACAGATGTCTCTGGTTTTGTCAAAGATATGTTTCTGATTCGAGAAATTCTCCTGGCTGCTTTTGTGTGGTTCTCCAAAGGATAAGGGGTAAAGTCATTTTTATTCTGCCACTTTAAAACTAAGTACTGTCTTCTAACTGTAATAAATTTAGCATTCTGAAATCCATCCCCCCCCCTTTTTTTTTTTGGCCTATGATGAGAATTTCTTACTGGTTGGGAAATTGCTGCTTTTGTTTAAAGGTAACCCGATCTTGTCTCTTGTCTTGGGAGTGGCTTGAGGGTTTAGTAAGGAGGATGTGCTTAGATGCCTTCCTGCCTTCTCTCCATTAGCCGGCTATTTCTGTCTCCCTCTGATTTTATTAGCATGTCAGTTAGAGCCATGTGCTCTGGTACCCATATCCTGTGTGTGGATATTGCTCTGCTGAGAAACTTGAGGAAGATGTGTTTCCTCTATTACCAGGTAGAGTGTGCTGCAGGAGTAAATGCAGACCAGTCTAATCCCCAGGACAGGAAGCCATTGGTGAGTTGGTGGGTGACAGACCTACACATCCCTGTGGCTCCCTTGGATCATGTATGATGGAGAGCTCATAGGTTTTCATTTTTGAGGCTACATAAAAAGAACAAAGTTCCTTTTTAGACTATTTTTTTAAACCACAACTGTAATAATGACTATCATTTTTTTGTTTCTTTTTTTTTAATTAACCCTCACTAGAGGATACTTTTTTCATTGCTTTTTAGAGAGAATGAACGGGAGGGAGGGCGATAGAAAGAGCGCGAAACATCAATGTGAGAGAGACGCATCGATTGGTTGTTTCCCGCATGAGCCCCAACCA